GCCTGCCCACGGCACCCTCAGACCATCTCCGTGTCTCCGAGGACGGTGGCCCACACCTCTGCCTCGTGGAGCCGACCTGGCAGAGATGCACTCAGGGGGCTCGGTCCCCTCCCAGACTCTTTTCTCTGCAGGCCTGCCTTGCTTGGAGTCTTAGCCCTGAACTTGCAAATGGCCCAAAGTGTTGGGATATACATGGGGAGGGGTGGGCCTGGAGGGCTGAAAAACCAACCGACATTTTTCCTTCTTCTTAGTTAAAAAAAAGCTTATTTTTTTTTTTATTATAAAAGTGATATGTACTCATGATGAACACATTCAGTGTTACAATAACCCATTAGTAGAAAGGGAGAGCCGCACATCATAGCTTAGCCTCTCCCATCTTAAACAAAATCGGAATACTGACGTCGGCCTACAGTTAGCAAAATCATCTACCATTATGAGTACCGTGTAGAGTATTAGTTGCTCACCCTCATAACTGCATGGCTGACTGGGAGCTGTGGCTCGCTGCTGCTGCCCAGCATCGCAGGAGAGTACTGTACGGCACACCACGAGCCCAGGGAAAAGTCAAAATTCAAAATTTGAAGTACGATTTCTACTGAATGCTTCTTGTTTTCCTATGATCTTAAAAGTTGAACCATCGTAAGCCACTGTCTGTATAATATTCCATTGTTGAGAAGTACTCTAACTTATTTATTCCCTAAGGACATACATGTAGGTCATTTTCAATCGTCCCCTGTTGGATGTAATGCTTCAATAAACAGATTCTACCTAAATCTTTGCTCATCTATGTGGCTATCTCTTGGATAAACTCCTGGGCATGGATTTTGGGTCAAAGAATGTGCTTGCTGTGAAATGTAACAGATTTTGCCAACTGCTATTAACGAAAGAGAGATCTCCTTACATTGCCCCAAAGGCCACATCTTTCTTATGCTAGTTCAGCCATGTTGTCCTGTGGATATTTCCTCTGTCCTGAATCTCAGAGTTGAAGATATCCTAACCTGGCCTCCTGGGGACACTGTACAGTCCCCTCTCTGGGGCCACCTCTAATCCAAACCATTTGCACCTGTGTAAGTCAAAGGGCTTTCCCCATAGCATATTATCTGATCCTATTTCATTGGGTAAGAAGGAAAAACACATTAGCTCTGTCTGAGATGTGAGGGCCTGAGAGGTCAAGTGATTGGTCCAGGGCCCCCAGATGCATGGGGAGCAGAGATGAGAAGCCAGTGTCCTGCCTTCTCATCAAATACCTTTCCTAACATACTACCATTACTCCAAAATGGTGACGTAAGCCTGGGAAGGGTAGGGCGAAGGAAGTTTTATCAGATAGGAAGTAATGCCACTAACAGTTATTTTAAACACCCATAATGTTTAAAATATTAAACAGTATGGCCAGACACTGGAGTACAGAGCTAGGACAAGACCCAACCCCTGCTTGTGGGGAGCTCAGAGTCCAGTGGGGAAGATGGACCAACCCTTGGATCATGTCAACATGAGGTATTCAAAGCCATGCTAGGAGTGAGGCTGGGTGGCCTCTAATCAGCACAGGGAGTTCAGGTGAGGCTGAGAGGATGCTATCTGTCTGAGTTAAGCCTGGAAGGATGAGTGTGGGTTGGCCAGACTAAGGAAAGGCATTTCAGGAAGAGTGAACAGTGTGTGCCTCCAAAGATGGCCTGGCATGTGAGCCTGGGGCTTGTGAGCAGTTCTGCATGGCTGAGTGAGGTAGACAGCTGTGGTTTGCCATGTCCCAGACCCATTCTCCCTTCTGGATACAGTGCCTAGACTATCCTTTGGGGAATAGCCCATGCCCATCTTCCTGGTTCCAGGATGGGCATGTGACTGCAGTCGGCCAATGAGAACATTGCTAAGCAGGCCAATGAGACTAACTTGGGGACTTCTACAGGAAGATGAAAGATAGAAACCCTCTTTCCAATGGGCTGCTGGATATTTCTGCAGATGAAAGCCTCCCACATGAAAGCAAAGCCAAGGGACTGAGAGAGACAGAGACTAGATGAAATGGGTTAGTCTTTGGATCCAGCCAGACCTGGCATGTCTACCCTGGAATTTCAGTTGTGTGGGCCAGTCAATTCTGATTTTTTGCTTAAATCAGGTTGCCTAGGATTTTGGTCACCTGTAACCAAGAGTCCAGACTAACGTGATGGGATAAGAGGACAAGGGGGAGGGAGGTCAGAGGTATCAGCAGGTATCAGCTCATGGAGGTAGGTGTAGGCCAGACTATGGAGTTAAAGACTTATCCAACCACTAGAACTGGGAAAATTCTAACCATCAAGCGGGAGAACTTTGATAGTGTGACTGTGCCTTTTAGAACAGAATCTCTGCTGGCTAAGAGAGAAAGAGAGAATGAGAAAGAGGAAAAAAAAAAAGAGATGATGAGTCTTCTAGAAATTTCAGAGCCTTTAGAACATCTTTTCTCGGGTTTTCTCATCAGGATAGATAGCCTAGTCTGGAATTGGAGCCAAATTATTAATCCATGGGTCCTGATGGCACATATCAATTTATCTTAATTTCTGAAAATACACTCAGCCTTTCAGATCAGTTTCTCTTCTCCATCACCAAGAAGAAAGAGGATCTTAGCAGAGATAAATCAGAGGGAATTTGGCCCCTTGTAAATGCTCCATGCTGTCTGAAATAGAACACCTGGCATTTCAGGGAGGCATCACCAGCACATGAACGGGCTGTCCTGTCCCCTCAGCACCGTGGCAGGCTGTCCAGGAAGGCCTGAGAGACAGCGCACTGGCAGATGGGCTGTCGCAGGCTCCAGGAACTTACGCTCCCAAAGCCAAGAGAGAGGAAGCTAAGGGAGAAAAGTCTTCCTTCCAGACTCGGGAGCCTCCTCATTACACGGTCTCCTCTCCCCTCAAGAGTGAAGGACATAATTAGATCAGATGGAATCAGGAGCCATCCTCCTTCCCCCTCCCACACAAGAGACTTCTCAGATGGCTTCATTACTGAGTCTTTTGTAAATAAACTGTGTGGAGAAAAATGCCATTTGTAGTGCCGTAATTGCCTGATGAGCATCATTAGATGGGTCTTTGAAATACACAAAATGAAATCATTTTGGGTTTAGGAATTCCTTTGTGTAAATCTTTCTCCATTCACTACTCTCCACAAAGCGAATTTCTGAAAGGGTACGTCTTGACCAAGGAGGCTGGTTCTGGCCAGTGATACACTTGCTTTTAGTATTCAACCAACAAATAAATATTTATTAACTGTCTTCTCTGTATCAGACCATCTTTCTGGTACTTGGGATAGGGCAGTAAGTAAAACACACAAAGACCCCTACCCTATTGAAATTTACATTCTGGTGAGAACTCAGAACACAGATATGACCATTTCTGGGAACAAACTTGACAGGAAACTTTATAAATCAAGTTTGTTTTATTGATGATCTAGGAACTCTTAAGTAAAAACATCTGATTCCTTGTGTGTGATTTCACTGTACCCATAAGGATGTGACATTTGGAAAACTAGATTGCATGGGCTAGGGATACTAAATAAATGATATACGCCATCACTCACCAAACCTGTACCTATGGCAGACATCACTAATTAATCACCACTCTTTCTGATAAGCTTGGATGCAGCCTCAGAATACATATTAACACAGGAATGGGGCAGCCCCTATCAATGGATCAGAGTTGTCTGCTATTTTTGACTTAGACTGTTATTAATTCACTTCACTGAAAGGCAGCAGAATATTCCCGTAAATTAAGAATAATACCAGGAGGAGGCAAAAACTGATGACATGAGGGACTGCAGACAATTTCTCAAGCTAGTTTTCCTCTCAAGTGCTCTTCCCCCATCCCTGCTGAAGCCTAGAAAACATGGTAGGACAGAGCCTGGGCTTTGCAGTCAGACAGACCTGGGTTCACGTCCTGGTTCCGTTACTTCCTACAGTGTGGGACCTTGGTTCTAGCCCCACCTGCCTCCCTGCAAAATGGGTATAATAATGGTACCACCCTCCTAGGGTTGTTGTGGGATTAAATAAGCTAACATGTGTTTGGCACGGGCTTCTGCTGGGGACAAAATCCAGCTGCGGCACACCAGAGTGGACACATGGTTGTTTAGAGCTGGCACCTGCTCTGACTTGTTGGTGCTTGTGTCCTCAGGGTTAAATATTTTGAATATCACCCCTGGATATTAAAATTAGTTTTATTTAGGGGGCTGGCCCCTTATGGGAGACAACTTCAGTACTCTGGAGGTAAAAGAGACACAGATTGTTTTTTAAAGCAATATGTTTCAATAGAATTGTAGGTGGTGGTTTTCTTGCTACTCAAGAATTTATGTCCCCCAGTTCTGACCTGCTCAACCGGTACTACACAGAATGACAGTAATGATGTTGATAATGCAGATTATCTTTTGAGATACTTACTAAGAAGCACCTAACAAGCATGGTCCTATATAATTCTCTCAACAACCCTGTGAGGATCAAAGTATCGTCAAACCCATCTTATATAACAGGAAACTGAGTCTCAGTGAAGTGAGGGTTTCATGTCCAAGCTCGCACAGCTGGCAGGAAGTGATAGAACTAGGATCGGACCTAGGAAATCTGACCCCAGCACTGAAGTCCCGTGTGTGACACTGGTCTTGTGTGTGACACTGGTCTTTTGCATTAAAGTTGATGCTTGACTCAGAGTTGTGTATTCGCAGGGCTTGGCTCTATAACAGTGCTGCTGGCCAACCCTTGTGGGCTGGGGATATACCTTCCCAGAGGTTCTGGGGATGTGAGAAGTAAGCTGTGGCTGACCACAAGGGTACAGGACAGGCTAGCCTGACTCTCAGAGGGACCTGTTCTTCACCTGAGATCAACGTAGGATTCCACAAATAAAGGGAGAATGTGACTTCTTCACCTCAGTTACGCAGGGGCTGCAGAACCTGAGCCTTAGTCTTCCCAGGTTCAGACACACACTAGGCAGGCAGCCGGCCAGGACAGGCGCCAAGGGGGCTGAGCTAAGAAGAAGGGGGTTTCCGGAGAGGTGGCTCACCTTGAATGAGATTTCATACTGTTCTCCTCCCCAGATCTCCAGGCCTGGGTCGTATCCGCCCAGCTCCCAGAACCACTTCCGATCCACAGCGAACAGTCCACCGGCCATCACGGGAGACCTGTCAGGGAAGAAGAGCGTGGTGTGAAGACGTGGACCTAACGGCCACGTGCTCTGAGTGTCCTATGCCACTGCTGGTCCCCCGGGATGGTGTTCCTCACTGCTCCGTGAACACAGCCCATGTGTCTAACAGGGAATCCAAGGCCCTTCCGAATGAGGGCCCAGGCTTTCTCCTTTCTTGCCTACAGTTCATTCATAAATGCCACATTTTAGCCAAATGGACCCAAAGTTCCTTTACACGGTTAACACCAAAGAATACTTGTGAAATGAAGTCATAGTACTTTTTCCCCATAGGGTAGCCCTTTCACTAGTTAAATGACTTGTTGTCCTTATCATGACTTGTCCTTATCAGGTCTTTCCAAGCCTGTCCAGGCTGTAGAATGTTTTAGATGAAAAAACATACAGCTTCCCGGGCCCCACTCCAGACCTATGAAACAACCTCAGGGGATGGAACCTAGGAAGCTGTGTTTTCAGACACGCTCTTTGGAGGATTCACTGTCAGCAAAGACATTTATTCTGCTAAGAGTTTATGGAAGAAGCTGCAGTCTCTGATCTTCCAGTTAAACTGGGCTAAGATTAACTCCACGCATTCATTCTCTTGTTAGTTTGTTCACTGAGTGCCAGCTGGGAAGCAGAAGCCGGGAGAACACGGAGGCAAATCAGAGTTGGACTGGGACTTCAGGGGGTACCAGTGTGGTGGGCAGCCACCTCAGGACAGAGGGATCCAGAGACAGGCGGGGTGTGCTAAGGGCCTCTGGGAGGTGCAGACAGCACTCCAGGAGCCTGAAAGGAGGGAGCGTCTGCCTCCAGGTTTTGGGGGCGAGGAGGGAGGTTGGGGCGAGAGTCAAGGAAGGATGCTCTGAGGGGGTGGCTTTTGAGGTGGGTTTGGACAAGTAGAAACTAGGGGGAGGGGAAGGCACCCAGGAGGAGAAAACAACAGGAAGAAAGGCACAGAGAAGATAAACTGCGGGGTGCCATGGGGAACAGGAAGTCAGCATGGCATCAGGCCAAGCCTGAGAAGGATGCCTGCTGTGACCTGCCTGAATCCCCCAAGGCATCTCATGCAGGGCTGGCACCTGGGAGGGGACACCAGTGTTTGCTGCGTGAAAATCTCTCAGAGTGGTTGTGTCCTTGTCCCACTCCACTGGAAAACTCCAGACTTTCACACCAGAAAGCATTCTAGCAGCAGCCTCCACGTCCCCTCCTGGTCTCAGGAGCTGCAAGCTCATGGGAACATGCATCTCAAGCTTCCTGCAACAAATGAGCCTTAACTGCACAGGAGGGGACCCCTTTAAAAGGGGATCCCCTTGACTATCTACTGAGGGCTTGAATATGCCAGGTGCTGTATTGAATTAATTTATTAATAAAATAACTTCACCCCTCATGTTGACCCCATGAGGTAGGCCTCATAGTAATGATGAGTTATTACCACCCCATATTATGCATGAAGAAACCAGAGTACAGACAGATAACTTGCTCAAGGCTTCACAATTACTAAGCAGGGTGAATTTCTAATCTATGTCACAGCCCACATCCCTCACGGCCACAATATACTGCCTCCTGTCAGGGAGGAGCAATCAAGAAGCAGGCGATGAATGGAAAGGGCCGGGGGTCAGAAACGGGGAGAGCCTCCCTGCGACCTCGGCTGTCCTTAACCAGAGACGTGACCCGAGGTGAACACTGCTGCCTGCCATGGCAGCCACTGGCCACATGTGGCTACTGAACTGGAAATGTGGCTAGTTTGGACGGAGATGTTCTGCAAACGTAAGATATACACCCATTTTCTAAGGCTTAGTATGAAGACAAGAATAGAAAATCTCATTAATAATTTCTAAGGGTTGGTTACATGCTAATAAAATGAGGCTATTTCTGATAATACTGAGTTAAGTAAAATATATTACTAAAATAATTTTTACTTACTTCCCTTTACCTTTTTTAATGTGGCTACTTGGACATTTAAGAGTACATATGTGGCTCACATTATATTTCTGCTGGATGGCGCCGACTTAATGTCTTTGGGCCTGTTTCCCGTCTACACAAGTGACATATAGCACTTCCTAGCTCACCTTGCTAGTATATTTCTGAAAGTATCTAGGACTATAAGAAAATAAAGCGTCAACTCTCCTTTGTCTTCTGAAGGTTGTGGGGTCTGGGTTTTCTGGCTGGAGCCTTAAATACACTGCTTGGAGGGGCACAGTGTTTCTGACTAAGTGCTTCAGGAGAAATCAAACCCAAGACTCTGCACACAAAAGTCAGCCCGAGTGGAAGCCAGGGGCAGGTGCGGAGGAGCTGCCTTATGAGGAGCTACTCACCACAGGTAAGCTACTAGCATGAAGGCATTTTGGATGCTCAGGGCTTTGCCTCTGGAGGGAGGCCTCTCCTAGCCTGGTCTATTTTTTGCTGTGTTCAGTAATAATAACAGTGATTCTGAGTGTCTAGTGTGTACCACTCACTCTACCGACATTATCTCCAGCTCTCACAAAGCCCTATCACTAGCCCCTTTTTCAGATGGAGGAATTTAAAATTCAGAAATGCTACATACTCTGCTCAAGGGCACACAGTAAGTGGACGAGCTGTGATTCAAACCAGGGTCTGCCACCAAGGCCTGAGTCTTTCAGACATCATTCCACCATGCTGTGCCTGCAGATTGCTTGGTCGCTGGCATCAGGAAAGGTGTGCAGAAAATGACCAGGATTTTTCTAGTGGTCTCTCCCCTGGGTTTTGTCCAAGTACAATACAGAAGGGAGGTTTCTGGAAGGACTTAGAGGGTACAAAGGAGGGAGATGCCTCAGGAAGCATCTAGGCTGGTGGCTCTAAACCTTGGCCACACATTAGCATTACCTGGGAGTTTTAGAGAAACAATGATGTCCAGATCCTACTCCCAGATGCTGGTGTAATTTCTGGGAGATGGCCTTAGTGGGTGTTTTAAATAAACTCCCTACGAGATGCCAATGGGCAGCCAGGGTTGAGAGTCACTGCTCTAGGGCCAGGCCAGCCCCCAACATCCAGACGGAGAGAGTGAGGCCCCGGAGGAAACTGGCTGGGCCTCCGCTACTAACCAACTGTATGACCTGAACTTACCCTTTCTTCATCCTGAGATGAGGAGGATGAACAGGCCAAAACCCACGCTGATGTACCTTTCCAATCCTAGGGCCTATGAATCAGTTCACGGCAAAGGGTTGAACCATAAAGAGGTTCTGGAAATCCTGAAAATTCCATTTTCTGGAGCAGCCCACTCCAATTGCAGCTTCTGCTATGTGTCATCTTGGGCAAGTGTCGTTTTCTCTCTGAATTGGACTAGAATGGCTCTAATAGCAGTGTCTGACCATGCGGAGGATACAGGCGGTCAGGAGAAGAACACGGATGTCTGTCCTGATGAAGAAGCAAAAGGCCTCCGCTCATGCCCTCCGCTCTCGGCTCCTGCTGCTCCATCACCCTGGCCACTTTCCATTTCCTCCAAGAAGCCCACCTCTTCCTGCCTCTGAGCCTTCGCTGGGGCCCACAGCATTAGGAGCTCCCTTCGGACACCCTGGGTATGCACCGTGCCCATGAAGATGGCTCAGCTGCCAACAGCCTGCTTTCCCAGGTGAGGAGGGTAGGGCACAGAGATGCTCGGGTTCACTGGAGGCCAAACTGTGGTTAGGCAGGTGTCGTGGTAGACAGAATAATGGCTCCTCAAAAATCAATGTCCTAATTCCTAGAACCTGTGAATATATTATCTTACACAGAAAAGGGACTTCACAAATGCGATTAAGTTAAGGATCTTGAGATGGGGAGATTATCCTGGTGGCCCCAATGTCATCACAAGGGTCCTATAAATCAGCAGTCCCCAACCCCCAGGTCACGGACTGCTCCCCAGTGTTAGCAACACCACCTCAGCTCCACCTCAGATCATCAGGCATTAGATTCTCACAGGACCACAGGTCCCTGGTACCAGAAAGGTTGGGGACTGATGCATAAGTGAAAAGAAACAGCAGGGTCAGAGTCAGAGAAGGAGATATGATGATGGAAGCAGAAGGCAGGAAGAGAGAGAGATGGGGGAGGGCTGGGTACGGGGAGAGAGAGGGATGGGGAAGGAGAGAGAGGGAGAGGGAGGTGGGGGAGGGGGAAAGACTGGGAGACTTGAAGCTGTTATGCTGCTTGCTGGCTTTGAAAATGAAGGAAGGGGCTGTGAGCCAAAGAATGTGAGCAGCATCCACGAGCTGGGAAAAGCAAGAAAACGGATTCTCCTCTGGAGCATCCACAGAGAAAGCAACCCTGCTGACACTGTGATTTTAGCCCAGTAAGACTCATTTCAGACTTCTGACCTCCAGAGGATAAATTCATGTTGTTTTAAGAAGCCAGTAAGTTTGTGCTAATTTCTTACTACAGCAATAATTAGGAAATTAATCCAGCAGAAGAGCTTAGACTTTGGCTTTGCAACCAAAGATCTTTTCCACGTCTCTAGCAGGAGAGCCAGAGTGGCTCACGTGACAGTCACAGGGCTGGCAGGCCCACTGTGCAAAAAAAGAGATCCTTTCCAGAGCTTGGAGAACCAGAGAGGTACTGGGCTATTTCTGGCTCAGCTACTCACTCACTGTGTGCCCCAGCGGGCCCTGCCCTGTCCTGGGGCCTCAGTTCCTCATCTGCAAGGGCTTGAAGACCATTGCCTGTAGGTTCCCTCCAGCATTCACACCCCCAAAACTTCAATGGTGGTCTAAGCTGTTATTTCCCTAACCTTTCCCAGAGGGTATAACAGAATGATGAGAAAATTGGCTCCCAAGGCAGACAGACCTGCATGTACATCCAGCCTTTGCCACTTCATACTTGTTGTGTGACCTGGGCAAACTGCTTAACCTCTTGGACCCTTGGTGTCTCCATTGGAAAATATGAATAATAATTTTAACAACTGTTGTGGGGGTTAAAGAGGCTCAGGGTGTAACGTGCTCTGCACAGTGCCTGGCACTTAGCAAGGGTTCAATAAGTGGTGGGGATGATGGCGATGATGATGATTACGACTGGGTGGCGGGCTTGAGGGAGAGAGTATGAACAACTCTACTCAGCCCTGGCTGGCAATCTCAGCAACGTGCACGGAGGTGGGCAAGGAAAGGGTGACGAGACTGGTGGTCCATGAGCTGGGAGGGGCTGTGCTTCTGGTTGGGGACGTCTTCCCTGGCCCCTATGCACTGGACTTTTGGGGGAGGGGCGATCCTGAGTTATGTGCATTGGGGAGGAGTCACTGAGTCAGCCACAGTGTCCACCTGGGTTGTTCGTACTTACTCAAATGGGTCGCTGGGGTCAGCTTTCTGCAGTTCCGGAGGGATTGGGATCCGCTTATAGTACATCTCCCAGTCAAAGGCACCCCGCATGGCATCCCCCGCTTGGGTCTCATATCGAAAGTCGTCATGGTCAATCACATCAATCATTGGGCACACGATGGTCTTGCGGTTCCGAGCAATGCGGTCTGAAGAAGAAAAGAGATGCCCATTAGGGAGGCAGGATCGGGGAGCAAACTGCATGGTCCTGTTCTACAGCTTACTTGCATTTTTAATTTGTTCCCTGGGTGATTTCTCTAAACACTTGAGTTTGAGAATCCTGGAGAGGAAGAGAGGATGCAGGTTTTAGGCAAGATGGACCAAGTCTCCCACCCAGTCTTGGTGCCTACGACAGGATGGGGGTACCCTGGGCCAGTTACATAACTAATGTCTCCAAGCCCCAGTGTTCTGGTACCAGCAAGTTGTTGGGGCAGACGATCTGCCACTAGGGGCAAGTGGGCTATGCTGGGGTGTCTCGTGGCTCTGGGCCAAGAGTCAAGTTCAAGACTTGGAATGGGAAGCCTGGCAGGCCCATAGTAGGCCAGTAGCAGCCTAGGGCCCAGCCTTTGTCAGGCTACCGCATATTTTTCTTCTAGGAGAGAAAGCAGCATTTTTTGTCATTTTCTAAACTGCAAGACATGATCCTTAGGTGGGTCATCAAATTGATTTTGTGTGTGTGCAATGAACCAAAAAGAATGCCAAATATCAGGGTGCATTCCAGGTGATAAGGGAGAGTACTGTTTCAGGAAACGTGTTTCAGTCATACTATGTGAGAGTGTGTGTGTTTGTGCACTGGATTGAGATATCTAATGTATTTTTAACTGTGGCACATGGTCAAAAAAATTTGAGAAATGCTTTCATCGGTGTGTCCCCAAGTATAGACCTGGGGCCAGCAGTGCCAGATGCACCGGGTGTGTTTAACTACTATCACCCCAACATCGCGGGGCTACCTTTGCTCCAGACCCATTGAATCAAAATCTTGGGGGGTGGAGGTATTTCAGCCTTGTGGACAGGCTCCCTGGAGATTTTTAATGAAGATGAAGAAGCTTCTCCAAGGAAAGATCTAGAGAAGGGCCTCCCTTCCTAATTATTCATGGCCATTCAGGGCATTTCACTTCCAGGGAGGGTGTGTGCTAAGGACACAGAACTCTGCTAAATGCTGGCTGATTGTGGGAGGTGTGAAGTCAAGGGGTTGCATCAGAGAGGCAGCATTCAGTGCTGTGCTCACTTGGGGACAGAATGCTCAGGTTCGAACCCTGGTTTTGTCACCTACTTGCAGTATAATCTTGGAAAAGGTTATATGACGTCTCTGAGCCTTGGTTTCCTTGCCAACAAAATGGAGGAAGACAGCACCTATATCATAGGGTCTTTGAAGAGCAAGTGGTATAATGGGGAGATGATCAGCATGTGATCAGCACTCCTGCCATTCTCTGTGTGACCAGGGATGCTGAAAGAGGCTCAGAAGCAGGAGCTGGAAGGCTGAGCATCTCCCTCATTCTCTTTGCCCCTCAGTTTTCTCATTTGCAACATGTGGCTAATAATGCCTGGGTTGCCTGTTCAACCATTTAACCGTCAAATTCAAATGGGGATGTGGCCTAAAAAGCTAGGAGACTAGCAGAGCCATGATGAGGATGATGCTGATGATGATGGAGGAGAAGGAAATGATGACCAACAGTGGCTTTCCTTTGGGGAAATGCTTGTCAGCCTCAGAAATGGCTGCTCTCAAAAGAAGGCAGAACGAGCTGTGCACAGAGGTGTTAATGGTTTCAGAGACCAAAGCCATGATGTGCCCTGTCTGCTGATCATATTAGCAGGGCAGACTTTTCAGTCTACACCACTGGTTCACATTTCTATTGCAAAAAGAAAAAAAAAAGGGGAATGCTTCTTCCATGTATGTCTTCAGATTATGAAAATTACCTTCATATATTTCCATAGAAACAGAGTTAAGGGCTATTTCGACGACCAGCTCAGCTTCCTGCTCCACCACTCCGCTGTCTTTACGAGTCACTGAATGACCCGGCAAATGGGTTATTCCTTCAGGACTACAAATTAGGCAATTTATGATAAGGCTTTTGTCTTTTTTATTCTTTTTCAGTAATGAGAGGCAGATAGAGACGTCTTACGTTAATTAAACAAACAGTTTACTAGAAAATCTTGGTTACATCCTTTCCCTAACCTAGTGGGACTCCGGACCTTGGAGGCAGAAGCACATAATCTGACACTAAAGTTCCATTCTGATCTGTGTTAGAACACACGTTTGCTGGGTTATCTCGTTTAACTGTGTGGATTTTGCTTTCTGCCCTCACCCCTGAATGGTGGCCTAACCAGTGCTCCTCAGATTGTGATCCGATCCCAGGACCAGGAGCCCTGGTGTCACCTGGGAGCTGGTTAGAAATGCAGCTTCTCAGGCCCCATCTGGACCTCCTGACTCAGAAACTCTGGGGTTGGGGCCCAGCACTCCGTGTTTTAACAAGTCTTCCAGGTGATTCTGATGCACATTCAAGTTTGCCCTAAACTTCAGTCTTCTGTTATGGAGCGCATATCCATCTATTTCTGAGGGGCTCACTTTTCTCTCTGGATTGATAACTCCTCCCTAAAATGCCTCCATCCCTGCCCCTCGCCTGACTCACAGTCTCAGTGAAACATTCCCTCTTCGATATCCACCTGTCAGCATCAGCTCACCACTCTCAAGGCTGAACTCCTCATAGTTCAGGCTGTTTCTCTAACCAGCAATGAGTTACCCCGCTGCCTGCATCCAATCTTCATGTCTCTCTCTTGTCCTCAAGGCTGGGGTGGATGACCACTGGATCATGTTGCCCTCTGTCTATGGTCCTTCCCTGACAGCTGTCGGAGACTGTCTGAAGAGGAAATGAGTTTCAGGAGGCAATGTGGAACCATGAAAGGGGATAGACTCTGAAGCCAGGCCGATGGTGACTTTGACACTTATGGCTCAAGGGAACAAGTAAGTCACTCGATATCTCTGAACTTCCATTTCTTCTACTATAAAAAGGGGATACTTTCAACCTGGCATGGTTTTGTGAGGATGAGAGATAATGCTACAACCTTCCTGGCTCACAGCAGCAGTGCAGTGAATGGTAACTGTTCTAAGTTGATATGATGATACTCTCCCGCAATTGGGCTCTTAACAGGAGACAGCCTTGCCTTGCTTTCCAATAAAACTTGAAGTAATCAGGGGGAAGAAATCATGTCACTAGACACTGATGTGCTGTATGACTTTGTGCAAGTCGTTTCCCCTCTCTGAGTCTCAGCTTCTTTCTCTGTAAAATGAAGGGAAAGGGCTGAACAGACTTTTAAAGTCTCTTTGAGCACTCCCGAACTTCTGGATCCCTGGCGGCACATGGCATTGTGCTGGGTGCATCTCAGGCAGGCAAGGGAATCTTTGTGGATGACTCCCTGTAGGAGGCTGGGGCCAGCAGTGGCTGGTGCGTTCCAGGCCACCTACTTAGCCTTGGGAAGGTGCCTTACCGAGCAAGGGAGGGAGCCAGTTGACATTGGCTTCACAGTGTGAGTCCAAGAATGTGATAACATCTCCAGAGGCTGCTGAGGCCCCCAGCATTCGAGTCCTTATCAGCCCTTCCCGTTTTTTGGTTCGGAGAATCCTCACACTGGGGAAATGGGCCATGTAGTCTTCAAGTGGCTTCTTCAGGTGCTCTGTGAGGGAGACAGAAGAGGACAGATAAACAGATGAGTATGAACGGCTGCTTATTAATCATTCTAGTGATCCCCCCTTTCCATGTGCACAGCGCTTTACAGTTTAATCACAGCTTTCCAGTACACTGCCTCATTGGACCTTTCAGATAGGGATCACTAACTGCATGCTGCAAATGGAGAAACTGCTCAACGAGGCCCAGTGATAGCACCAGACCTGGAACACAGAGAGATCTTCTGTGGGCAGCTGTGGTTTATACCTGGCTGGGACCCATTCCCTCATTTTCTGGTAACAATACTCTAAGTTTTCTTTGGGAAACTATACCCCTCCCCTTCTCAGTCTATCGAACTTGGGCAGGGTTGGCTCTGTCCCCTGGTTCAGGGGATGGCCATGCAATCTGGTTTGTCCAAATAATGAATCCTGAGAATTTTTTTCAGAACTTTTGGAAAAACAAGGTCCTTTATTTTTGCTAGAGTCAGTCATCTGGCTGGCCAATAAGTTTGTCACTGCTGGTGACATCTTCTGCAAAATGAGGTGATGAGAAGTGGTGGGGGTATCTGCTGAGACTGAAGCCAATGTGTAGAAAAAGAGCCAAGAGATGGAGGGAGAAGTTATCCAGATGATATTTTGATTCCTCAGGTCCCCCTGTGCCTGATGTGGATAGAGTTCTAGATGTTCTTATTACACAGGACAATAAATCCCTCTTTTTGCTCATTCTAATGTCAGCTGCATTTCTGCTGCATGCTTAGAAAAACTGTTCTGAATAAATCTCAAAGACAGACTCTTTCTACTAAACGCTGGTGTCCCTTAATTTTAATTAGGGTTTGGGCCCTTTATGAAAACTCTAGTATGGCTTCAAAAAAAACCCACTATAGTTTACATTATACCTAACAATGAAATATTAAATGCTTTTCTCTTACAATCAGGAGAAAGGCTGTATACTTTCTCTTCATTTCTACTGAATATTGTACTTGAATTCCTACCTAGTGCAATTGTTAAGAGAAAGAAATAAAAGGAATAAAGATTGGAAGAAGGTAGTAATGTCTTTAATTGTAGATGACATGATTGTTTACATAGAAAATCCTAAGAAATCTACAAAGACTAGAACTAATAGGTAAACTTAACATAGTTTCAGGATACACATCAACATTTTAGAATCAACTGTGTTTCTATTTACTAGCAAATAAAAAACAATTGGAAAATGCAATTAAAAATGGTAAAAACACCATTTACAATTTAACAAAAGAAGTGCAAACTGTATACTTTGAAAACTACAAAATATTGTTGAAAGGAATTAAAGACCAAAATAAATGTACAGACAGTCCATGTTCTTGGACCAGATGACTCAATATTGTTAAAATGGTAATACTTCCCATATTGATCTACAGATTCAACATAATTAAAATCACAGCTGACTTTTTTGAAGAAATTGACAATTGACAGCTGATGCTAAAATATATGGAAATGCAAGAAATGAAGGGATTCAGAATAGCTGAAATAATCTTTTGATTACTTACACAACAATGTTTATAGCAACACTCTTCACAATAGCCAAATGGTGGCAATAACCCAAGTTTCCAACATCTCATGAAGATATAAACAAATACAGAATATATCCACACAATGGACTATATTACTCAGCCATAAAAAGGAATGAAGAACTGGTATATGCCACATCGTAGGTGAAGCTTGAAAACATACTAAAGAAGCCAAACACAAAAGGTCACATATTGTATGATTCCATTTGTATGAAATTCCAAAATAAGTAATACATAGCGACAGAAAGCAGATTAGTGGTTGCCAGGGGCTAGGGACAGGGGAATGGGGAGTGACCACTTAATGGGTATGGGGTTTCACTTTAGGGTGATAAAAATATTTTGAAACTAGATAGAGGTGATGGTTGCACAATATTGTAAATTTATTAAATGCCAATTAATTGTATACTTGAACATGGTTAACTTTATGTGAATTTTACCTCAATTTAAAAAAATGGGTCAAGAATATAAATAGATACTTCTCCAAAGAAGATATACAAGTGGCCAATAAGCCCATAAAAAGATGCATACCATTATTTGTCATTGGGGAAATACAAATCTAAATCATAATGAGATACTGAACTATTCTGGACTAGGATTACTATAATTGAAAAGTAAGATAATAATAAGTGTTGACAAGGATGTGAAGAAATAAGAATCTTCATACACTGTTGGTGGGAATGTAAAATGGTGCAGCCACTTTGGGAAACAGTCTGGTAGTTCTTCAAACAGTTAAACAGTTATAACCCAGAAATTCCATTTCTAGGTGTATTCTCAAGAGAAATTAAAACATATGTCCACACAAAAACTTGTATACTCATATTCATAGCAGCAATATTCATAATAGCCCCAAACTGAAAATCATACAAATGTCCGTCAAATAATGAATCGATAAACAAAATGTAGAATAACCATACAATAGAATACTATTCCGTGATAAAAAAGAAATAAGCTATTGCAATAATATGGACAAGCTTTAAAAATATTATGCTAGGTTAAAGAAGTCAGACACATAAGACTTAGTATTATATAATCCTATTTATGTGGAATTTCTAGAAATGTAAAACTATAGAGACAGGAAACCAGTGGTTGCCTGGAGCTGAGACGGGAATGGAGATTGATTGCAAACAGGTACAAGGGACCTTTTTGGAGTGAGGAAAATATTCTAAAACTGAATTACAGTGACAGTTTCACAACTATATAAATATACTTAAAAATACATTGAACTACACTTAAAATATGATTTTTATGGTATGTAAATTATATCTCAATAATGGATGTTAAATTCTTTAAAGAAATCCATTGTATTTCCATATACTGGCAAAACACATTAGAAAATACAATAAAAATAGCATTTATAATATACATATGTACACACACATACCCAAATAACTGAAGTGACAAATAATATTTATAGATTGACTCCATATTAAAAGTCAATTCCAAAAAGGTCATACCAGACTTTTTTTAATTGACAACTTGGTTCTAGATTTCCATAGAGTAGTCAAAACAGTCTTGAAAAAGAAGAACAAAGCTGGAGGACTCACTGATTTAAAAACTTATCACAAAGCTAAAGCAGTCAAAATGTGTGATACTGGCAAAGAATCAACAAAGGGGTCAACAGGACATAGTAGAGAGACCGGAAGTCCCCACCCACATCTATATTGGTGAATGGTTTTTGACAAAGGCACCAAGGCAATTCAATGAGGAAATAAAAGAATTTTCTACGACTTCTCCTAGAACTGGATAAAGGTATGAAAAAAGATAAACCTCAACCCCTCCCATACACAAAAAATAATTTTAGATGGATCATAGACTTAAGCATAAAGCTAAAGGTATAAATTTTCTTGAAGAAAATATGAGAATATTTTTGTGAACTTTGGGTGGAAAAAATTTCTTAGGATGTGAAAATTAATAATTCATAAAAGAAAAAATGGATACATTGGACTTGATTAATATTAAGAACTTAACTCTTTAAAAATCTGCTCATCAGAAGACACCAGTAAGAAAATGACAAGGCAGGAAACAGTCCGGAGGAAAATATTCATGATATATGTATCTGACAAAGGAACTGTATCCAGGATATGTAAAGAATTACTACAAAGTCAATAACAAAAATGTAACCATTTAAAAAATGGGCAAAAAACAGGCAAAGGCATTCCACAAAAGAATTGATATACACATGGCGAATAAGCACGTGAAAAGGTGTTCATCATTTCTTATCAGGGAAATGCAAACTGCAAGTATGAGATACCATTCACTACATGTTTCCCAGAATGACAAAATTAAAAACAGGAACAATATCAAGTATTGGGGAAGAGGTGAGCAACTGTAACTCTCATTGCTAGAAGGAATACACAGTGGTACAACCTCTTTGGAAAGCTGTATGATTGCTTCTTATAAAGTAGACACGCAACTATTCTATGGCTGGTATTTACCCAAGAGAAATAAAAGCATACATCCACAACAAGAATGAGAATATTCCATTGTAATTTTATTCATAATAACCCCTAAATAGAAACAACCTAAATGTCCATCAACAGGTGAATGGATAAACAAATCATGGCAGAGTCACATAATAGATTCCTCCTCATCAATAAAAGGAACAAATCTCTGGTACATCCAACCACATGGATGAATTTCAAAATTATGTTGAAATGAAGAAGCCAGACACAAAAAGGAACTTAGTGTATCATTCATTTGAAGTTCATCAACAGCCAAAATAATCTACAATGACAGAAGAACAGTATTTGCCCTTAGGGTGTGGGGACTGACAAGAAATGAACTTTCTGGGGTGAGGCAATTTCTACATCTTGATTGGGGTGTTGGTTTGCCAGGTGTATACATTTGTTATACCTCATGGACCTGTATACTTAAGATACCTGTGCAGTTCACTGTCTGTAATTTTTCCCTTAATTAAAAAATACTGGTCAAAACACACATTCATTCTCTCTCGGCTGGGGAAGCTGGAGTGCAGAGGACGTGTCACAGACCGGCCATCAGGAGAACGGGGCTGTGTTCCCATCTGACACAGTAGGCCCACTGTTTATTTCCTTGGGGCCTCAGTGCTGTCCCTGAATCAGAGTTTGGACCAGAAGGTCTTCGACAGCCCTGGGCCCCGGCCTTTCAGAAGCCCAGGTAGCACAGGACTGGAGCTGCCGGGCTCCTTGCTCTTGCCAGCCCCTGGGGTGATCACATTCTCTAACCCAAGCCTGAATCCTGCTCTGAATTCACTCCATCAGGGGTTAGAGCAGGAGGGCTCTCTTTAATCAGGGTGTGTGTTCAAGTCACTTGGTGAGCTGGCTATAAAAATGGCTGCCTGGGTGACTGTGATTTGATATACCCAGGGTGGCATCCAGCATCTTTAGTTTCACTCGACCCACAGTGGGCTGTGATGTACGACCGGGCCTAGAACTACTGGGGTAGTTCAGTCTCTTCATTTTATAGACAGAAAGCTGAGGTCCATA